AGTCTCACCGGCCGGCCCCAGCCCCCTTCCTCAGCCCGCCCTGGAGGCTTGCTGGCCGCCTTGCCCTCCGGCGCTGGACCAAGGCCCCGTCCTGCCGCCGGCGGACCTCCCGCTTGGTTCGGTAGGAGCTCCGTCTTGGACGGAGACTAAAATTTGGCCGGTGCAGTGGGGTTTGCTAGTGGGGAGGGGGGCTTTTGCCTCAAAACGTGGAGCTGGCTTTCCGATCCCTCCGTCCCAGCGGCAGGTCGAGGAGGTCTGGATTGGGGGATCCGGTTCAGGACGCGATAACATCTGGATCTGTTTGCGAAAGCCGGAGAGCTTGGATCAGCTCGCAGTCCCCTCTGCCCAACGGTGTGGGTGTCTTTGAGAGCGAGGCGCGATTTATCAGCTGTGGTTTTTAGTTTCCGAGATAACTTGCTAATTTGGCCCGAGGCAGGAATGAGCCGAGGGCCGGCTCCTGGCCGGCGTTAGGCAGGAAGTCAGGCTAGATGACCTTAGCGGTTCCTGCTGGATTTATAATCTACGATGCTACGCGTCTCCCGACTCCAAACATCCCCAGATGCTGAAATCCGGTTAGGGCTGCCCCGATTTTCACTCCGCCGAGCAGGTTCGCTGGAAACTCAGGGCAGTCGAGAGAGTTGACGCCAGCCGTGCGTGTGCATCCGCCAGCCCTGCCCGTCTTCCCGGTGCCCTTCCTCCTTCACAGCCGCCGAGGAGAAGGGAGAAGTCGTCCCCTGAGACGGAGGGGTCAGAGCAGATCAGCCGTTTCTCAAGTCGCCAGCCCACCAGGGATGCTTGCTCCCCGTGCCGCGATTTCCCCCGCCGTCGGACGGAGGATCGCTATAGCCGGCCTGGTTTGCAAGGATGCCGGGAGGATTCATTCAAGCTTCTGCAGCGCTTTGGCCGTGAAACGCTCTACGGCCTTGGAGTCGCCGTACCCGGTTCCCCGCCTGGGGTGGACGCTTGGGTGCGCGAGCGTTTCCTTGCCCGTAGCCGTCCTCCTTGGCTTGCAATCCGCCGCGTATTTATTTTATCAGCTGCGGTTGTAGGTTTTGAGACAAGTTGCTAGTTTGGCTTGGCGCAGGAGCGAGCCGAGGGCAGGCTCCTGGCC